CGGGGCCGCTACCGCCGCGCCGCCATGACAGGCGGAGGCCCCGCCCCGCGGCCGGGAGGGCGTGGCGCGCAGCCGCAGTCGGGACGGAGGCGTCCGTGCGTCCGCTTGGAGCCGCTCTCCCATTGCCAAGGCGGAGCGGGGCGAGGAGGCCGCCTTTGCTCCGGACTCTCCCGCTTCACGGCCTCCGGGAGCTTCGCCAGCTGGAAGCGCCGCTTGGCCCCCTCAGGCGCTCTTGCCATGTCCTCAGGGCGGCCGAGGCTGCAGGGGCCGCTTCCGAACTCTCCGGGGCTTCTGCAAGGGTCCTTTTGGCTCTGCTTCCTTCTCTAAGCCCCTGGGAGGCTCAAGGCAACTGGCCCACCCGCCCCTCCTCTCTCCTCTTCCCCCGCCACCCCCGCCCTGTGAGCTGCGTTGGGCGAGGCGGCCCTGGAACTCACCATCCCCCGGCTTCTAGCCTGGACCCGTCGCCCCCAGCCCCAAGCGGCCTCTGTTGAGGCTCAACTGGCTCCCTTGGGGCGGACTCCGCACCCATCGCTTCCAGCCTCTTCCTAGAGGGCCGACCGGCGCTTCTGCCCCCACCCACCCCCGTCTCAGGAGGGCAACACGCGGAGCGGCGCCGCCAAAGCAAAGTCGGCCTCCCAATCGGAGGGGACTCGTTCTTGGGGGTTTCCAAAGGAGCCGCCCGGAATCGGCCACTCGCCAGAGGCCCCGAGGCCGCATCAGGCTCAGCCCGCGTAGCCCCCTCGGGCGAGCAACCAGGAGGCTCCGGGCTCGGGCGGCACAAACGGCCATCGGTGCCGGACTAAATTGGCAGCCGCCGTGGCTGATCGTGCGGGGAGAGTAGCGGGAGCCACCTCCAGAGCACACGGGGAGGGAGGCTGCTCATCCCCGCCTGGACTTTCAGTGACTTCAATATAAATCCCCCGTTTTGCACCGATGAACATCCAGCCCGCCAGGCACCCCGGGGCCTCTAAGCTCGGCTGGGAAGCTTCCTGCGCGCCTTGCAGAGAAAGGGGATCGGGATGAACCCGACCTGGCCAGCCGCGGCAGAGCAGCCCACGCAGGCGCGGAGAGCACGCGGCCCCCTTTCCCTTTAAGGCCGCTCCCGCCCACGGAAAGTGGTGCACCACCCCGCCCCTCCTTCCCTCCGATCAGGTGACGCCGGGGAGCGCGCGTGAAAGGGGAAGAGAGCGCGCCTTCGGAGAAGCAGAAGGGGCGGGGCCGGCCAATTCTCCCTGGGGTGGGCGGGCTCTGGCGGAGCCGCGCCCCCTTCCCTCTCTCGGACGCCGCCTGTGACTGGCTGCGCGCCGAGGGGGGGGAGGGCAGCTGCTGGCCGCGGCGGCGCGCGCGGCGGGCGCTGACTGACCGGCCGAGCGGCGTGTCAGGCGCGCGCGCGCGCGCCCGTCCGCCTGAGGGAGGGAGCTTGTTCTGAGGTACTTTTGGTGGGAACCGGAGCGAGGCCGCAGGCGGGCGGCGGCGGCGGCAGGAAGAAGAAGCGGTGCCGCTCGGTCTCTCCGCCCTTCCTTCCCCGGCCGGGCGGATGCTTCGCGGATAGGCGGCGGCGAGGAGAGGCGGCCACCTGGCTGTGGCTGGCGGCGACGGGGCCTGGCCGGGCCGGGCGAAGATGGTGCTGCTGAGGGTCCTCGTCCTGCTCTGCTCCTGGGCGGCCGGAGCCGGAGGTAAGCCCGGCCGCGGCCCCTCCCCGTCCCGAGCGCCCTCCGCGGCCCCAGGCCGGGCGGGAGGCCGTCGCGAGCGCCGCCGAAGCTCCGCTCGGCCGCCCGAACTCGCCGGCGCCGAAGCGGCTGCCGGGCCTGGAAAGTTTCTCCGGCCTCGGCCCGGAGCCCGGGCGGCGCCGCGGCGGACAGGCTCCGGGCCGAGGTGCGCCGCCTCGAAGCGGCCTTGACTTCGGCGGACTTCGCTTCCGGGAGCGAGGCGGCTGCGACGGGGCCCGGAGCCGCCTCGGAGGCCCCCGGTGCTCGGGCCTCGGCCGGGACCCCCGTCGCCTGGGGCCGGGCGTTGTGGGGGGATCCTGCAGGGCCCCGCCTGCCGCCCCCTCAGACGGACCTTGGTACGCCTGGCCCGGGTTCCCCAAGGGCGGATCTGCCTTGCGGGGCGCAGGCCCTCCGGGGGTTCTCCTGCCGAGGGGCTTCCGGAAGGGCCCCGGGTGTGGCGGGGATGGTGCCTGCTCTCCGGTGATGTAATGGGGCTGAGCAGGGAGGGGCCGATACCAGGAAATGGGGGCGGCGGGCGCGCCTGGGAGGGCGACGGGGAGGCCAGCGGAGCCCTGGCTTGGCTTGTGCCCAAGGCGGAAGGGGGAAAGTCCGAAGCTCCCGGGAGGTGCTCGAGGGTGGGATTAGGTTCCCTCTGCCATCGGGAAAGTTCCTGGCTTAAGTTTGAAAGTTCGGCTAGTACTTTATTAATTCAGCAATCAGGTATCTGTGGTTTTTCGGCAAGCTGAGAAGGTAGCAAGGTGAAGAGGGGCAATCCTTCTCCCCGGCTGTCTGCCCCGCCATCCAAAAGGGGAAGTGTAAATGTGGCAAGGAAACGTTAGGAACAGAAAGTGATAGCAAAAATGAAATCCTCCGAAGGTCCCTGGTACTTCAGCACTTTGGACCTAGGTCAGTTTAGAGCGGTTTGGCTACAATAATCAGATAAAGAAAATCTGTACGTGTGGGCTGCTCTGAAATGCATTGCAAATCTATAAAATATATGATAAGGCCTTGAATATTTTATTGAGATGAAACCTAGCAGTGCTAATACTATATTTACCTGCTTGTATTTACCTTTATGTCTTCAAATTATGCTCAAAATGGCTACTAAACACAAAATGCGATATTAATGAATTCGCTGATGTGGTATATTTCCACATGGAAATATTAGTAATATTATCAAACTAAATATTTCAGAATACTAAATTAAAAACCTCACCTGATGATCTTCCTGAAAGAGTGGGAAAAGCTAGGGTTCCAGCTAGGGAGTGAAGTAGAGAAGAAACGTCTTACAGGGCTGTTAATCAGGGGACACTTTATGGATAAACAAGGCCCTACTATCTCTGAAGATAGAGAGGTTGACGTGCTGTGTATAATCTCTTCCTTTTCATCCTCACTACATGGAAAGGCAAGAACAGGGATGAGCTGAGGAGTTTCCTCCAAACAGTTATCTTAAATTCTGAATCATAATATATCTACATCAGAAGACATTACCCTTAATCCTAGTCCAGGAATCTTGTCTGGATTTTAATTCAGCTAGTTCACCTTCTTGTATTTGATTGGTAACACTATTCTTTCTCTTGTAAAAGGTTCATTGCTTGCAATTGAGAATTTGCAGTCTTCAGTTCTCTCAAAATAAACTTTCCATATCTCAGCACATATTCAGAAGGGCCAAACTATTCTTAAAAATGCCTAAAGGTTGTTTATAAAGTTAATATCACATTCTTTCACTTTCATATTCAGCAGTAGAACCCACTGTTTCTAAAAGGGAATCCATGGTTGCAATTATGAGTTTTGGCAT